GGATTTTAAAAAGATTCCCAGGTGATTCTAATGTGCAGCCAAGGTTGAGAACCACTGGCCTAGAAGCACTCCCGATTTCAGAGGCCTGGCAACCGGGTGGGTTAAATCAAGCCTCAGATGACACGGTTGTCATAGCCAACATGGCAACTCAGGACCAGCGGCAGCGCAGCCCCGGGTCCTGCAGGGAGGGACCCGGCCACGCCTCTGACTTCACGCGCTGACCGGACGGTGTTTCCCAGCCCGGAGTGTTTGCCGTGAGCCTGGGTGAGGACGGTGAGGACGGACGTTTTGCAGAGGCGAAGACCAGCTCCCAGCGCTTGAAGCTCCTGTCTGCTTGGGCCTTGGGTGTCGGAAGACGGGCGGGGCCGAGGGAGAGGAGCGCGCAGTGTGAGCCGGTTAGGACCTGGCCGTCGCTTGGCTGCAGCTGGCTGCCAGTGTCTCAGTGAGGACACGGGGTAGGAGCCACAGCGCCTCTGGGAGAGAAGGCAGCTTCCCAGGTCCCACCTCCCCCCCTGACAGGACTGTACGACCCCTGCACGCTCTGACACCCAACAGTCAGGCCCCGTTGGGCTCTGGGCACAGTGGGTGGGAAGTACACCAAACGTTACCCCATGCGTCAGACTCCAAAACCCGCTGACCAACACATTTTTTTTTGTTTGTTTTCTAGAACAGGACACAGCTGAAAGCCCTGCTCACCATCACAGCAGAGGAAACAGTAACGGTAAGAGGAAGTTCCAGCCTGGGCGCTCCTGCTGCCCCGGGTGTGTTTACGCCCACGGGGTGCAGTCCCCTCTCAGAACCTGGGCGGGGGGGCGGCTGTGCCCCACAGCAGGCTGGGGCTGCGTGCAGTCTGAGGACCCAGGGGCAGGGCTCCTGGGGGAAGGTCCGCTGAGGCCGGAGCCCGAGAGGCGGCTGTGGCACAAAGACTACAGCCAGCTGCTGGGTGTGCATCCCAGGCCCACTGCGGACCAGCTCTGGGTTACGTGCGTGTCTGTGCGCACAGATACTATTTTTACTTTAATGAAATCGGAATCTTCTTGTGTATATAGTTTTGTCTCTTCTTTAAAAATGTTACATTAGGACATAAGCATTATGCTATTAAAAGTTCAGCACACACAAATCAGTTGCATGTCTGTCCACTTACAATGAACGATACAAAAAGGAAATTATGAAAACAATTTCATTTACTGTAGCATCAAAGAGAATCGGGTCCTGGGGAGGAAACGTAACCGAGAGGAGAAAGACTTGTACACTGAGCACCACAAGTGCCGCTGAGGGAAATGAGAGGAGACACAACCATCCTTGCACGAGGACAGGAAGACCTCATGTTCTGATCTACATATTCAATGCAATTTCTGTCAAAATGCCAATGGCATCTTTTTGTAGAAATAGGAAAACCCATCCTAAAATTCATATGGACTCCCAAGGAACTCTGAATTGCCAAAATAATCTAAAAAAGAACAAAACTGGGAGTCATACACTTCCTGACTTCAAAACGTACCACAAAGCTAGTCATCAAACCTGCGGGGTACTGGCATAAAGACAGGCATGGACCAATGGAATAGAATCAAAAGCTCAGGATAAACCTCACATGTATAGTCAAATGATTTCCAACAAGAGCGACAAGACCATGCAATGGGGGCAAGGACAGTCATTTCAACAAGTGATGTTGGGGAAACTGGATCTCCACATGCACAAGAATGAAGTTGAGCCCTTACCTTACGGCATCTACCAAAATTAGCCCAAAGTGATCAAAGACAAATGTAAGATCTAAAACTATGAAACTCTTAGAAGAAAACATAGAGGGAAAGCTTCATGGCATTGGATTAGCAATTATTTTTTGGCTATGACACCAAAAGCACAGGCGACAAAAGGAAAAATAGATAAACTAGACTTCTCTTAAGGCAGTGGTTCTCAACCTTCCTAACACCGCGACCCTTTAATACAGTTCCTCATGTTGTGGTGACCCCCAATTTCATTGTTACAAATTGAACATAATTAAAGCATAGCGATTAATCACAAAAACAATATGTAATTATATATGTGTTTTCTGAAGGTCTTAGGCGACCCCTGTGAAAGGGTTGTTTGACCCCCAAAGGGGTCGCGACCCACAGGTTGAGAACCGCTGTCTTAAGGGCACCAGCTAGTAGGTGGCAAGCCGGGTCCAACCCCAGCTCGGTCTCGCTGACTCCATCCTTGTTCTGCTATAAGTAAGTTGTAGCTCAACTTGAAAGATGTGAAGTATGACCGCAGGTGAATCCCTGTCACGCTCTTGTCCCCGTAGGTGCTACCAAACCATGGCCTTCACGCAGCCGGGTTCTTCGTGGCCTTCATCGTCTCCCTTGTGCTGACCTGGGTCACACTTTTCTTCATGGTTCGCTATCAGTGTTTCAAGAGAAGCATGTTCACCAGGTATCAGGTGAGTCTCCGCGCGCATCTTCTTCCCGGGGGTCGTTTGCTTGGTGATGGTTGTGAAGTTGAAGTTTATCCTCCAGTTCAATGGGTCTCAATCCCGGGTGGACAGCAGAATCCCCTGGGGAACTACGGACAAGCACTCATGTCCAGGCCCCTGCGAGTGGCCAGTGTGGAGAACCCCTGCGGTCTGGCTGAATAACTGAGTGCCCACCTGTGTGGCCAGCTCCGTCGTCTTGCCACACCATAACTCAGGTCCTGTTCCACACTCCCCGCTGAAATGCTGTTGGAGACTCACTTCATCCTCAGGGGGAAGCCCGGACTCCCTCGCACGGCTTATACAGCCCCCCGGCCCTGCCTCTGCCCACCGCTCCTGCCACTTTCCGCCTCACACTGCAGCCAAACCCTCCCCTCAGTGACTTGGCATTCTCTGGGAGTGCCGTGCTCTCCACACTCACCTCAGAGCTTCTTCGGTCTCTGCTCTTCATTGAGCATCATTTGGACCTGTCCTTTAAGACTCAGCTCAGGCCTTGCCTGTCCCTGGAAGTCAGCACTGGCCACTTCCTGGCTGAGTTAGGGGCTTCTCCCTGGGTTCCCACACCAGGTTCTGTAGACCCCATGCAGCACTTCCCTCACCTGTTGGGCCCCTCTAAACTCCTCAGTCTCCACATTCCGGTCTTGGTCTGGGTTCCCCCAGAAGCACATCCTGAGACCAGGATCCAAATGCAGGTAGTTTATATGTGAAGGGACCCCAGGGAATAATGGTGAGGGCTGGGGGAGTGAGGCAGGGATGGCGATAGTGATTATGATGTTGGTGATGGTGGTAGTGATAGTGATGATGATGGTAGTGATTGTGGTGATGATGGTGATAGTGATTATGATGTGGGTGATGATGGTGATAGTGATTATGATGGTGATGATGGTGATGATGATAATGGTGATAGTGATTATGTTGGTGATGGTGATTATGATGTTGGTGATGGTGATGGTGAT